GCTGCATGTACTTTGAGTTTCCGTTGTTACCCCTGCCTGACTAAGCTCACACGGTTTGATAATACCTTGATGACTTACCTGTCTCAGCCAGCAAGGACACCTATGATGAGATGGATACAGATATCTGGGCTGTAGGCGCACCATTGCGTGACCATCCAAACACACTACTTCTCTATCTAAATCCAGAGCATTAACACACTTGCATTTTTATAGTCCCCTCCTACACCTCTTCCTTAAAAAAAATAGTTTAGCCAAATACCAAGTGACAGAAATCATTTTATGTGGCTAGTTAAGAGTTTAGGAGCAACATGGTGGAAGGGCCAGAGAGGGAGAAGAGTCAAAGGGCCCAGGAAGGCATCACGACCTCTTCCTTTGCAGAGACTTGTGCCTATGGCTTCCCAACCAAGAGGGTCATGGTGATGACATTTCTGAGATCCCAGCAGGCATGGGCTTCATGCTACTCATGCCTCTTTCTGTCGACGGTAGATTTTTGGGAGATTTTCTGCTCCTTTGTAAGCACAGATAAGACTATGTAGCTTCATCTTTCTCCTGCATACTAACTTACTCAGTCATAGTGCTAACAGAATGGGATCCTGGTTTACTCTTCAGCTTTTGACTTGATTGCTTTCCTTGCACTGAGATGCTAGTAGTCTTAATGTTATTTGCCAACACACAGGAAGAGAATACAGAGAACCTGTTTCCTGGGGCTGATTTAAGCTATGGGACACATTTTCATTATTTTGCTCTGTTTTTCCTGCAAGCATATCTAGGATACTTGCTAGATACATCTGTTCTCAGGTGCTTCTGAAAGAAGAAGTGAGAAAACTACATAATGCCAACTTATGTAAAAATGGAAAAACTAACTGTGAATCTATTAAACAACACTAAAAGTTATTTAAGAAGCAAAGGAAGGAGGAATTATGGTCCAGAAAATAGGATCTTTTTTTTTCCTTCTGCACCACTGTATCTTTCCACTTTTTTTTTCTGTTTAGATGCCCTATATGATTGCTGCTTTTACATTTCTGAGATTTTCCTCCCTCACTTCCCCCGCCATACCTCATTTGCCTTTTTGGATTCTGCAGCAGTCAATTTTGCCAAGTAGCCTAAACTGTGTACAACATTTAAAAATCATTTGTATGCAGAATGCAATCTATATGAATTAACTGGATCCTAAATATATATCAAATCTAACATGAGCTTCAGGTTTGCAAAATTGCAACTCTGCCTCTGCTGATCCATCTGAAAGTAGGTACCATATGTCAGTTACTTTATCAGGAAGCTTCAGGGGGATCCATTAGAGAGAGTCCACAGCATAATTAGAAAAGAGAACATTTGTTTTCCCAGCTGCCCTGTTTTCATCCTTCTTCTTCAAATGTTCTGTTGATTTCAATTAAGCTCACCATAGATGCGCCAGCTTGGCGAACCTGGGAACTAATTGCTTTAAAAGTTAATATCTTGCTTGCAATGTAGGTTTTCTTAAACTCGTTCAGCTCCACTCCCAAATTCCTCAAGCAGTGCTGACACAGTGTATTGCCTCACCGGAGGGCACCGCTGTGGTGTGCAGGCAAAGGGAACAGGTAGCTGAGAGCAGCCGAACCCCAGCAGGCCGCGGCGGTGGGGAAAGGCTGGACCCTTCAGGAAGGACGGCAGTTGTGTTCCCGGGACTGCAGTGTCACATCCAACCCCATCAGCATACAGCCGGGCACTCAGTGGAGAAGGGGGGCAAAGTTGCCTCTCTTCACCTCTTGAACCATCTCGCCTTCTCCATATGCCCATTCCAGGCTTGCTGGCCCTGTGCCTCTCTCCAGAGCTAAGACGCTGCCAGCACCGCATGACCCAGGGTGTCACCAGGCCCCGGAGCGATGCTGCCTGGCGGTGACAGCTGCTGTCCCAATGACAGCAGAGCTACATTTGCATCCCACTCTGCCCAGGCTCATCAGAGTTTCATCTCACGGCTGTGATGGCATTGGGGGTTTCCGTTTCTGCAGCTTGTTTGGTTGCAGGCAGCTCCCTGCATCTCGCGGCAGCGCTGAACTCTGAGCCACACAGATGTCCTGCTGGGGCACCCGGCTCCGCATTAAGCAGCTTGGTTAGGATTTATCAGCTGTTTGTCCCCTCTTCCTATTATGCAAGGGGCAAAGTCTGCATACAAAACATTTTATTTCATTAGGGAGTTCTTTTGTTCTCCTGTTTTTCCTTTTAACCCTTTTTTTTTTTTGTATGGATCATTCTCTATTTACAGTAGAAAAAGCAAGGACAAAATATGTGTCTATTTTTGGTGCAGAAAGTAGCTCAGGGCCACCTTCAGCCACGTTGCTTCCTGGTAGGATGGGTGAAGCTGTGCACCATGAAGGCTAAACACTGCTGTGCCAGGAACATGCTGCTGATAGCTCCGTTGGCTTCTCCTGAAGGGTTTAGTCTCTGGATGCAGGTGTTGGAAAGAACTGCAGAGTGTTAAATCCTTCTGGAAAGGGACAGATTATAGGGAAGTCCCACTGCTCATCCATACATATGCTGTGTATCCAAATTTGTAATCCTTAGTGTTTAAAGTGCCTGTCTGGCCATAGAAGATGCTTCATTACAAGCAAGTTATCCTGTGTTGTTCCTTCAATGAGCTTTGGTCTATTAAAAGGAACTGCACTTTCTCCTACATCCATATTCCTGAGCAGTGTAGCCGGTACAGCTCTAGTGTGACATCCTGTAGAACAAGGTAAAATTCAGCATTTCTCTCCCGGGTCTGACTTATTGGAGAAAATCTCATAAGAAGTTTCATCTTTATGGATTGCGATGTCTGGATAGCTTAGCAGTACAGCTGATACAGAGTGTCAGGAGTGCCTCTTTTTATTTAATTGAAGTTGATGGGGTTTGGCGGCCATTATTCAAGTTCTGTTCTTTTTCACTCCTTAGCATAATTACCTCAGGTTGGAGATCCACAAGGAAATAAGGGAGAAATGGTTGCTTTCCCCAAGGGAACCAATAGCTGTGACTAATAGTCATGGGTGCTTATTAGCCACTTGATATTCATGTATTGCCTGCAAAGATATTAGAAATGAGCTGTGATGGAAATATTGAAAAAAAAAAGGTTAATTTCATAGGATTTAATACCTTAAAAATGAATTTAAAAAAGGATTTCAGGGTATATCCCACAGAAATCATGATGAAGGCAAGATTCTTTGTAAAATCATCATGGTTGCTCTATGATTGCCACAGGTTGCCAGAGCAGTCCTCTACTCCTGATATAGTTTCCTCAAGCAATTCACAGCTGAATTATATGGAATGACTAGAAATCAAATATTTATGGAATCATATTTCACTCATTGCTTTGGGTTTGAGTAGAGAATTTCAGGGGACTGGGTTATACGTATCCATGGTGTGTAAGGTAGAATCAGAGGGCCCCTATGGGACTTGGAATCTTCAGGCTAATCATTGCCCAAACATGTGAACAGAGACAAGTTCTGCCTTGGAGAGTGCTCTGTCTCAGAGAATGCCTGTCTCATTTTAAAAGGAAGCATAATTTACAGGGAGCCTTTCTAAGAAAGCAAAGGATGTAGGCAACAAAATTGTGAGGTTGACCCAATTTTGACTTTTCTGCTCAGTAATTCCCAAGGTTTTAGTTTGGGGCATAGAGGACTGGGTGCTTTCTGGAGTCTTCCCCAGGCCAGATAGCTCTGGTCTCGGTGGAGCAGACACATAGACCTTATCCTCACCTCATATTTGTAGACATAGCATCATCATTTCTGAGAGACCAGTATGTAAAACTTTCTTAAAGTGCAGTTCTCTATGGTGAATAAAAACATATAAAGTGTATGTTCTCTATGGTGAATAAAAGCACATGAAGTAGTATGCTGGGTAGATCACTTCATCAATGACAGTCTGAGTGTGTGTTGTACCCATGCTTTGATCTTCATAGCTTAAATGAGCAGGAAGGTTCTCCTGACATTTTAGAATAATTTCTCTCTCTGAAATCTTCAGCTCACTGTTGGAATAACTTTATTCCTCATTCCTGC